CGATAATGATCTTGCTGCTGAAGTACTGATAATGATATTGTAGATCTGTCTTGCGCCAAACCATCGACTAAATCACTTAGTATTTCTCCTCGGCAAACTCACCAGCTATGAAAAATCTTGATTCTCTGTCGCTCCACCGTCCGTTCCCCAGTTCCATGGGTTTCACTCCGTGCGTGTGTGTGTCTCTCTCTCTCTCTCTCTGTGTTTGACCATTTGACGAGCCTCGTGTGAAAGAAATGTAGGCACTGTACACACAAGGTCACACACGAAACGAATCTGTTAGTAACTCAAGGAACGCGATCCTGGATGTCAGCCTTGTGGCTGAATGAGACATACCAGACAGTATGAAACTGGTAAATGTTCTGTTTGGTTGTCCTGTCCTGTCTTGCCTTGTCATCTCGAATCATCATCAGCTCGATCAACATTCGCAATGATGGCAGAACACACATTCAACATGGCAATGGTACTTGCGTCGTACGTCAAAGCGGTCTCGTCCCATCCTAGCTAGCCCTTTTTTCTTTCCCCCCCCCCCCCCCTCCGCAACCGACATGCCTGTCTCGAACAGAGAGGTCTCTCCGAGGCATGCAATGCAAGTTCACACCCTACCAATGCTCTCGCCCTGGTGCACTGCAGCTACCACCAGAAGGGTAAGAGGTGTCGGAGCTGTGACTTACAGCTACGGTCTTCACAACAAAAGAGAAAATGATAAAAACCTAAGCATTTCAGCTGCAATTGCAATCTCAAACTCGAACAATGCACACAGTACATAGACCCCAATGCAAGGAGAGATCTCCCGATACTTTGAATCCTGTTGTTGCATTGGAAGTTTTCCTTCGTGCTGCCTGTTTCCTTTCTCTCATCCGGATTTTCCTCTCTCTCTCTCTCTCTTCTCCACGATTGCAACTATTCTCAACTCCAATGACTAGACCGTTGTTTAAACCCGCGCTTCACGCCCACCCTCAAGCTAGCCCCACTGAAAATCGTTAGCTTGCGTGCAGGAGATAATGATAAGGCACGGAGAATACCCTCTTCGGGCCTTAGGTTAGGGCTCGAACATGCGGGTTAAAGAGGGTTAAGAGAGGGGGGTGGGCACTGGGAGCCAGAAAGATGGAGACCTCAATTGGTTTTACGGAGGCTTGTTCATGAGGGCGAACCAAACTCTGTCGGGTGACCGATGGATCCCGTTACGAAATTCCTGGGGCAGAGCAAAGCAACCGGCCCGGTTGACCACAACCACAATGGTTTACCTGGCGGTGGCCCGTTGGGTGGGATTCTTTTACCCAGACGGGCAGACCGGCCTTTTACCCATCAAGTCACAGACATACGGCGAGTCAGAGGCAGACAGATAAAGTCATATGTGTTGTATAAGTAGTGGTGGTTGACCAAGGAGCCTGTTGCTGCGACGAACGAGGCCCTGACAGTTGTTTTAGTGGGTAAACCAAATCGGCTGGCGCCAGCAGACAGACTACTGCAGTGTAAGTCAATACTGTATGTATGTACTGGTGGGATCCCTGAATCGAGATTCCGATCCAATGATTCCGGTTGCCTTGGGAGAGAGAAAAAGTACAGCATCCAGTGGTAGTCGGCCAGATCAGTGAAAGAGAATATTTGCCACGCTCACTTCAGTCAAAAGTTCTAGAAAAGAGGATTAAAACCTTCCATGCAGTCTGAGGGGGTAAGAAAAATTTGTTCCGGCCAGCCATCCAACAAAGTTGTTGGCGGAAAATAGGAACGTGCGGATGGATAAGACACTGGCTGACTGCCACTTTACCCACGGTTGATTTCGATAGCATGGAACCAAGACAGATACTCGGTAGATAATTCAAGTCGAGTCTTGCATGCATCAATCAGCCCTGACAACGGAGGGCACAAATACAGTGTATGCCGTACCTTTGTGCGTGCACTAGCTAACGTGCAGTCTGGAGGCTGACGCTCTTATTCAATGGCTCGGGTGCTCAGTAATGGAGCCAGGTTGACTTGTCGGTGGTTCCGGCCCCTGCAGTGCTACGTTCTTGAAGTTGTCTCGATCGAGAATCCTCCTGGCTCCGTGATCGTTGTCAGATTCAGTTAGGTAAAGTAGGCTCAGGCCCTGCGTAAAGTCGGCGTAAAGGATATGGATGTATTGGTATTGTAACAGGGCGAACCGTCTGTAGGCAACGCGGACCGCCGGCCGCGAAATAATGACCAGCCCAGGCCAGGTTCCTGGTATTGAGGATCACCATTGCACCGCGCATCGCAATCCAGGTTCGATACATGTTTTATCTTCAGGCTTGCCTGGCATAGATCTAGAGGAGAGGCTCTTCTTGAGATCACTCAATCGATAATGGCCTTACATCATGATCAGCCAGATGTCTGTTATGTCTTCAGATCGGTTTAACAAGTCGTCGAGACTTTGAGATCCCATCGTTGAACATCACGAGTTGTTGGGGACTGCGGGATGGCGTCACAGTTTCTGCTTTGGGGCAACTGCAGCTTTGTTCTTGACGGTCGGTCATGCGGCGGGGCCTGATCTACACGATGCTGGTGGATTGTCCCTCCACCAATGAAAGTGACCATTTCAAGGATCAGTCGGGCCCCTTCGGGGGCCCTTGTGAAGGCGGGCCCTGGCAATGTGGCTAAATACTGCTTCGTATGGCCTCAGGCGCTACTTCGTATCAGCAGAACAGACAGCTGGACAGATGAAGAATAGATGGGCAAAGATCGTGGTTCACGGCAGCAGATGCTTCGAAGGCATGTATAGCTTCATATATGTGCAGGCCGCCCTGACAAACAATCCGACGCTGCGACAGGGCTAGAGGGGGGGAATCGGCTTCTACAAGTACTATGTATGTACTAGTGACCCCGGTTCATCTTCAACACGGCGCCTACCAGCCAACAATAAAAATAGCCGAAACACCATCATCAGCACGAGAAGTCACTAGCAAAGCAATGGTTGGCACTCATGTAGGAGAATCAGCGGAATTGATTCTTTCAAATCATCGAGTCCTGTCTATCTTTTGCCTCAAACTCCGTTGAGACATATGGCATTGGCTTGGCTCGCCATTCTGGTATAATAGAATTCGTCGTATAGAATCGTGGACGCTTTGAGTCGGTGACTCCACTTGTTGAACTGGTCCAATATTCCGTTTATCATACCTAGTTACCGCACGATGCCTATCTAGTCTAGGTTGCCTAGGTACCCTGTCGACTAGGTCAGTATTCTCCATTCCCCTTCACCCGAGTGGCTTCGCGAAAGTGGATCGCTAACGCTGTTCAAAACGTGTACCTACATGAGTGCGTCCATCGGCTTCTGTTTTCTCAATTCTTGCATGGAAGTACTTTCAGGTCTTGACTCGATGCGGTCCGCCACAAAGACTCATCTGAAAAGACTCCAGCTCAGCTAATCCCAAAGATTCCAGCGAAAAGTGGTGTGTCGGGAGATCGCATGTCGGCGATGAGAACCAGTGATATCAAATGCTTGGCTTGAGTTTAGATAGACGAGACTGCTGGTGATCCGCCAATCGCAGTGCCCATGTACGCAGGGTGGACCGTTTCACAGCCTACCATTGTGCACCGGTCTGCCCCAGCCAACGGACCGTGCCCGCGATGTGGAGGAAGAATAGAGGCCAGAAGGAGATTTGAAGCGACAGTGTTTTGTGGCCCGAGTCTTGACTCTGTTGGCGGTGGTGGTGATAATCGTGGTGACTGCCGGGGTGAGAGATGGCTGATGATGGCTGAAGGCTAATGGCGGTGTTCTTCGAGAACGCTTTTTACATACGGGATCAGGACATCATCTAGACAGCCTCAGGCACTAGTCCCGCTTTTCTCAATTTCTGGATCTTGTGTTCGAAAATGCTCTTACTTCTAGCCATTGATTGTTCCACTTGCTCACAGATATATCTATCACCCTGGAATAACGTCTAAATATCCAGAAGCTCAGCCATCAGGCAATGAACTACTCCGTTACAAGATAAACGGAAAATATCTTATTTGTGGTGGAAGGTCCATCTTCACACAAAACAAGTAAATTGTCAATGGGATTCCAGACCACAAATGACACATGCAGACCATTCGATCATCAGTGAGGCGATTCTTATTAACTTAAGCACATCTTTAAGCTTGACTAGAGCCTTTTGTGAAGAGAATCGCAGAGTAAAGGGGGATGTTTATCATTGTTGTAGCGTAGACGTGCACGTGAGATGAAGTCATACAAAGTCTATATCTCATTTTCGTCCTCAAAGGCGAGACGAAGTGTCCTCATTGAACTACGTTTAAGTCAATCAACCAGTGCTTGCATGTCATAGAGAATATCCATTTAGCCAGCCTCAAGGGTAAAGGAGTGGTAGAAATGAAGGCTTTTGAATCACGAGTTCGAACATTGGCGAGGTTCAGATCTTCAGGCAGAAAAGCTTCATATGGCTTTGTGTGACTTCGTATCGCCAACAGTCAAGGCAAAGATCGAACTAGCCCACCGACATCCGAGAAGCCCTGAAGCCATCCATTCAGACCCGTTCAGACCCAATTGAAGGATTCTTCCCAAGCAAGAATATCTGATGGTCGAAGAGTTCTGGGCCGGTGGGAAATAGTATTAATCCGTTCGCTCGCTGGACGGACGCAGAAACAAAAAGCCGGCCCTCCGCGTCGGCGCGATCATCCCAGTATGAAACTATATCCTCAAATTCCACCTCCCCGAGTCTGCATCAGACTCGATGATAATGTACCCATCTTGTGAATTGGTCGCGAAATAATGTTCGTCGTGTCCTGCTCGTCGCCGACGGCATTCGGCGCTAACCCCTTCAAAAATCTCCCCGCCCAGGCAAGTTTAGCCTGTAAAACCTTGCCTGCTGTTCTCGCGTCTTCCGTCCTTCAACACACTCTCTCCTCCATCGAACCGGAGCATCGCTCCACCATCCACCATATCATTTTCCCATAGCTATCATCCTTACAGCCAAGATGAACTCCCGCGAGCATCCTGATATGCCTCCGGCCCACTCCTATCCATCCCCCAACGCGGCGCAGATGAGCCAGGGCGCCATGCAATACTACACCAACCGACAGTTGACTGCCGACGAACTTTTGTCCGCCGAGCTATCGCGCGAAACCTCTGGCCCTGGTCTTGCTGACGGCTCAAATAATGGAGTTCACCACGGTCAATCAATGGTCCTTGGTTCCTCCAATCCCGGTGGTCCTGACATGGGTCGGCCTGCATCCCCAGATCAGCATCAACAACAGCACATGCTCCAATTTACGCCAAGCCAGCAAGTCGGTGTCGATCCAAACCACGATCTAAGCTACGGAGACCAGAGCGCGAGGAGGAAGAGATCGAAAATCTCTCGCGCATGCGATGAATGTCGGCGCAAGAAGGTAACGCGAATTCCCGAATTCCCTTGCTCGCCACGCGCGACGCGGTGCGGTCGAACTGACAGTACCTCTCAATTAGGTCCGCTGCGATGCGAGCTCCGAGTCTGGCGTCGAAACATGCTCCAACTGTCGTCGCCTTGGAGTTGTCTGTCAGTTCAGTCGAGTCCCGATGAAACGAGGTCCAAGCAAAGGGTAAGAATGGTTGCGCGTGTCGGGTTTCAAAAAGGGTCTCGCTGATGCGGAGTGATAGCTACATCAAAGAATTGGCGGAGCGCTTACACACATTGGAGAGTCAAATGCAACCTGCTATGGTGCATCCCGACATGCCGTATCAGCCGATGAACGAAGTCTCCTCCCCTCGGGCATACCAGGATTTTTCGCCTCCAATTGACAACGGTCCCATCGGTCGCAAAAGGACGTATTCCATGTTTGACGGGCTTCCGAGTGCCTCGTTCACGCAACCATCGTTCAATACACGCCCTCAGACAGCTTTTGGTTGGTTACCTCATCATAATCATCATGTCATATATCTAATTATACCTAGACGCAGGAGAAAGTTCGACCGACCCATGCCATCCTTCCGTGGTTAACAACACAGCACCTAAACCTGGGAATCTGTTTTGGGCAACTGGCAATGAAAATGACTTACCCCACAGCCTCGACATCCCGGATGTCCCGAAGCAAGCACTGGACGAAGATATGACTCCCGTGGATGTGGATGAAGGTGCTCTGAACGCGTAAGTGCCCTTGCCCACAGCTTCTCCGAGAGTGCTGTATGCACCCGCTCTACACGGCCACGTGCTAAACTCCAGCAGCTATTATCAAAGGATACACCCCGTATTCCCAATCCTGCCAAACTCAAAAGAGCGCTTTCTTGAGATTCTTCACCGTTGTGGCCGTGAGCTGCAAGAAATCTTTCTGTACAGCCTTTACACTGTGACGCGCGCCAATTTGGAGCGCCTTAGCGGCTCTTTTGAGAGAGTCACCTCCTACGAAAACGCACAGGATCTGCTTCTATACTACACGCGCCAGCCAGCCATCACGCGGTCAACCACAGTCAACCTCATCTGGCTCCAGAGCATACTACTCATGATCCTCGACTGCGATGCTCGTGGACCGGACAACATGGTTATGAAAGACGGTGTGCCCAAACATACTCTCATCCAGTCAGCAACCAAGCTCGGTTCGGATTTGGTTAAAGGTCTTCATCTGTGGAAGTCTCAGCGGGTTACAGATCCTGACGTTGACTCTGATGCATCTCTTGCCCGACGCAGCTGGGTGTCCTTGGCGATAATGGCGCGGTGGTATGCTATTAGTGTGGCTGACCCAAGTGTTTTGAACACGCTTGACGTTCGCAACCGTGGCGACGAACGAATTCTTGGCTCAGTTACTGCCAGAGTTTGCTGTATGTACCACACTGCAACATTCCATCATCTGATAACGTGGACTAACCACAAGCCTGCTTAGCGTATTCTACCTTCCTCGTCGAATTGGCAAACCTGGTGACAGAAGAGCAGAATCTTTGCCAGTCGAACACTGGCCCTGGCCGGTTAGTTGCTAATAGCATGGCTGCGCGCCTAGAGCTACTTGGGGAGGCCGCAGAGGTTGGAGATTATCGGCGACCTTCCGAGAACGTAGAGGACGGAGCACCCTCCAGCTTCCTCGACAGCTTGCAGAATCAGCTGTACTGGACCTTGCGATTGTTGATCAAGCGCCATATCTTTATCTACACGCCCTACGAGATCATCTACGCCGCCGAAGAGGTTGTCAATGAATTGCACAGAGCCAGCTCACAATACCGTCTCACGTCTCCATTCGATATCCACAGTCTGGCTGTGGCAAGTATGACCCTGCTCGAGGCCACGGTCCTCCCGGAATATGCCAACGAGTGCTGGGACTCAATCAAGAAGGTCGAGGAGATTATTGATCACCGCGCTAAGCGGGCCGCGGAATCAGGCGAATTTGGCGACATTTTTTACACCCCAGCCTGGGACACCAAAATCCGCACCTTCATCGAATGGCGACGCACCAAAGCACAGGAGAGCCAGTTTCAAGACTCAACCATTGGCGGCGGCGTCAAGAGCGGCTCTGCAGCTCCTCCAGTCCTGGGTCCGAATGAGCAGCGTTCTCTCCAGCACCTGGCTGACCTTGCCGTGGGCGCCGAGGGCCAAGTGGCTGCGGCTGCGAACGCTTCCTCCCCGCCCCCTGTTATCCCCCCCGCTGAAAATCACTTGACCGCCACCTCACCCAATCTGGCTGCTGGCGCGCAACCCCAGGGTCGTATGGTTGTGGACTTCACCCTCCTCACGAGAGAAGGCTACCTGAACGTCTTTGCTGGCTTGATCTATCATCGATCCCGGTAAAGCACCCTCAATTTCTAGAACTGTTACTTACCGGGTATTGCTATATCTCGGAACTTTTATCTACTTGTGTCATTGTATCTTGAGCTGGAAACATTTTCTCTTCTCCCATCCACTTTTACTTTTTCAAAACGGAAAGCATTGCTGTTTATTTCCGAACCATTGGCTTTTAATTTAGCAATTTCGCGTGGCAATCCACATGGTGCTACTTGCCGCGATCGTGTATTTTTAGGTGAATTCTATTCATTACAAATCATGCTTTGCCTGCATTCCCACGCTTCTTTCTATTACTTCTTGCCCTAGTCGGTGGTAATATAGTGAGATCAAACAAGATATTCCCTCCACAACCCGACGGCTCGCAAAAAGAATATAGCAACATCGCGGCATTTCATGCTTCACGTCAACAACATCTCTCTGAAATGAGAGAAAGACGAAAGAGTTGACGAGACCTTGAAACTATCGCGCGAGAGATGAACAAGAAACAAGAATAGCAAGGTATCAAAGGAGAAATTTCACCAGCCCAAATCACGTACCTCCTTTGCCCACCCCCAACTTCATTCGCTGCCATATACCCTCCACATCCTCACAAAGCATGAGAAAGCCATCGTCTTCTACGTGGCGACATATCCAGGACTCAACGAGTTGCATGCGCTCCGTCGTGGATGCTGGACCATACGATGCGAGATCTTCCGGGGTTGGGAGTGGTATGGTCTGCTGCTGCTGTGTCTGCTGCTGTGTCTGCTGCTGTTGTCCCTGGGGTGGCTCTTGCTGTGGGGCTCCAGCTGTTGTGATGGTGAGGGTGTTGTTTATGGCTGGTTCGAGAGGATAGTGCTTCTGGTGCTGGTCACAGGAGGTAGCTGACTGCTGCTCGTTGCTTGCGGTGGCGGTGAGGCCTGGATAGGAGGGCAAAGGGGGTATGGGGACTCTAGGGACTGGCTGGGACCTGCCTGGGATAGCGGCTGGGGCTGGGACTTGTGCGGCTGGGTTCGAGTACTTTAGGACGGTGATTCGGGGAGTTTCAGTCTGGGGTGGGGGGTCCGTTGATGAGGCAGGTTGTGTTTTGTTTGCAGGGGCTAGTTCTGGATATGGTCTAGACACTGTATACCCAAGTTAGAGAGGATTTTCATGGGAGTTGAGTTCTACCCCGCGCGCGTCGGAGATATCCACCTGTGCTTTCAATTGCTGCCACTTTTCCAGCGGGGATGCCGGTCGTGGCTATTGTGTGAGTCCTCTTCATGAGCGGTCTATTAAAGGGAAGAACCCTCGCGGGAGGCGGGTCCAGGTTCGCTGTCTCCAGGGGAAGGGTGGCAGTGGAAGGTCTGGACGGGTCAGCCTCCGAAGTGCCTTGGATTTGTAGGGCAGAGGGTGGGCATTGGCCATTGAGGGACTGCGTAAGGTTGCTGTCTGTATACACGTAATTGGCGAGACTGCTGGGTGTATTTGTCGCTTGGTACGGATGGCTGGTGCCTAGGGTGGATGAAGATGCGGACGTTATCAATGTGCCTTGAGCCTCTCGTTAGCCACATGCTGTTCGGACTGACATGATCTGTGGGGATCAATACCTGCTGTGACGCTTGGCGTCGGTAGACGGGCACATGTGCCTGGTGCATACACAGGAAAACCAATACCATTGTTGGACGGTATCATGGCATTCGGTACTGTAAGCTCACTTAACATAGAGCCAGGTCTGAAGGATCCTGTGTTCCACTGCGAGGAGGTCTGTTTGTGCATGGAGGCGGGACTAGCTTCTGAAAATGGGCAATTCATCTCGCTGAGGATGGCTAGAGCTGCATAGTAGTCCTTTTCGGCTGAGAATTTGATCTGAAAGCGGCGGATCTATGCGCAGGTCAGGCCTAGTCTCGTGGTTTGTATATGCGGGCCTGAGAATCTAATCCTACCATGTTTCCGCGAGGATATTTCACTGCCACACAGGGTAGCTTCACGACGACGGCGAATGATGGCTTCGATGCTTGCCCCTGGGCAGGCTGAGATGGGGCCTTTGTGGCAGCCATAGCAAAGAAGGAGAGATCGAGCTCTTCCTAGGCATAGATCACTTCTTAGCATGAAGCTTGTAAAAGGGTAGCGCTGGCGGAGTCTCACCATGATATCGTGGAAACGAAAGATCCTTAGCACAATACTACTCCCAGACAAAGTGTTTGTGACCCGGGGCTTTTCGAAAGTGGCTGTAAGATCATTGTTCCCTATGATATGGCCCCAGTTCAATGGGCCTCTGTGGCTCAACGATGTGGTGACATGGGAGAACTTGGCTAAGGATAGACGGGCAAGAGGGGTATCTGGAAGTGGTTGTGAACTATAATGATGCATAATATTTACGGCATGAAGAGTTCAAATGATGAGTTTTGATTTGGGCTTAAGATGTTGGGAAGTAGTGTTGAGGAATCTGTAGTCAATGCTTCGAGGGGGCGACAAAAGATATGAACAGGTGACCAGGGAGACTAAAATACTACGTAGGTTGTGAGAAGCCGCCATACGACAAGACGCCCATCCCCAGTCTGGCAAAGTACTGGTTAGGCTATCCTATTTCAGTTCGAATCGCAACTAATAGATGTTGAGTGATAAAGTCAGAACATGGTCTCAAGTTTTGCTTAAATCTTGAGCAGCTTCATGTTATAGACCTTGACTTTGAGAAGGAATAGAGGTCAATAGGAAAGAATCCAGCTTGCATCTTGAGTGGAGAAATCCTCATGATGGACCGCTTTCTTTTAATTCTATATCCTGTGGACGAATCTCTCTCGAGACAGTTCTGAAGCCAGCAACTGGGAATTATGGAGATAGAGTCCACGCCTGATATCTAACGTAATCGTCAACCGAGCGAGCCACGCAAGCGAGCGAGCCACCACCCCCTGAATCCTCCCACCTCCAAGAACTGAAGTAATTCAGCGGTCAATTACACCACCAAAAATGCCGAAATCATCAAAAGACTTGTTGTACCAAGAGGGCCGAATCTGCCTTGCCCTTGAAGCTATAAAGACCGGTCAAGTTGCCTTAATTCGTGAAGCTGCTGACGTTTTTGATGTTCCTCGCTCAACTCTTCAACACCGTGCAAATGGCCGTTCATTTCGTCAAGAAACTCGCCCCAATTCTCATAAACTTACTGCGAGAGAGGAAGAAATACTTGAGAAGTGGATTCTCTCGCTTGACGCCCGCGGCGCACCTCTAAGAAACTCCGCAGTTCGTGAGATGGCCAATATGTTGCTTCAAAAGCGTGGAAATCAGAAGAGACCGATAACCGTGGGAGAGAGATGGGTTACAAACTTTGTTGCACGCCATGAAGCCTTGAAAGGTCGTTATTTCCGCCAGCTAGATGCCAAACGGGCGAAGTGCGAGAATCCACGGGTTATACAGGCCTGGTTCAACCGCGTTCAAGAGGCTATATCAGAGTACGGAATCCTTGAAGAAGACGTCTTCAACTTTGATGAAACCGGCTTTANGATGGGCCAAGTTGCAAC